CTGTTTTTCTTCTTTACTAATGGGCAGTAGGTAAAGTACTGGCACCTTCCCAATGTTGGGTTTGGATTGGCTGCACCTCTTTGTTTTCCTCTAGACCTTTCAGTGACCTGTATGTGAGTTGGGTGGCCATATAAATTCAAGAAATAAATAAAATAAACTCCTTTTACCTGCTTTCTCTGAGTGCCGGTGCAGAACTTGCAAACCATGCAACATCTCCTCCAACATCTATTTCAAGGCTGTAGCTTTTATAAGCAATTCTGCCATGCTGGGGAGAAGGTTCATATAAGAGAGATGGGTAGCACAGGTGCCTGCAGTTTTCTTAGCATCATATTGGAATTTATTGTGGGCATTCTGCAAGAAGTTTTTGCCTTTTTCGTAATTTACCTTTTATGAACTGATTGTGCATAGCTCTAGCTTTCAAGTTGGAAAGATGAAATTAAGATTGTTGTACTTTGCAAAGAAAAGTTACTTTTTCAGGGTTTTTTTCGATAATCTATTTGTAAAATCAATGTTGTATAATTTATACAACATAAAATTTAGGTGTTAAACCAAATAAAATAATTTGTTCAGTTTATATTGCACCACAGTTTTGAAAGGGAAAAGGCTTCTACTGGAGTAAATGCAAGACCTCTTAGAAACCATGTATTTATTAATCTATGATAATCAAATATTCGTTGATCTCCTGTTTTACTTTAATGTTTGATATAATTAATCACTAATCTATTAAATATTATTTAATATTGCAAAGCAGATTACTGTTTCTTTCTAACTTTCTTTGACTCTTTGGACTATTATGATTATCAATTGATTATTTGTGTGTCATTCCTTTATGTCATGTGCATAATTGATTTTTGAATTTTAGGTAAAAGTGATACATTACATTATGGATACTACCGTGTTTCCCTGAAAATAAGACCTTGTCTTATATTTTTTTGAACCCCGAAATAAGCGCTTGGCCTTATTTTCAAGGAGGTCTTATTATTTTGGGGTGTGTGGAGCAAGACGGGGCTCCTCTTGCCATCTTACCTGATTTCCAACTCTGTCTCCCTAATCCTAACCAGAGGAAATGGCAGTGCTGCACATGTGGTTAAATAGTTTCAGAGAGGGCTTATTTTTGGGAAGGGCTTATTTTTGGGGGAGGGCTTATTTTAGCACATGCTAAAATAAGTTCAAAATGAATTAGGGTTTGCTACTGCTGTTTTTTTAACCAAAGAAGAATGAGAGTAACTGTTCAAGGCCATGGGGTAGAAGAGTAGTTTTATATCTCACCTATTTCATTTTCCTGCCAGAAGCTACTGAGAGTTCTCATGAACTTCAGACCATTTATTACTTAGCTTATCATTGAGGGCTGTTCAGAAGTTGCCTAACAGAGAAAATAAAATTTCAACTTCAAAAAGCTGTTAGAAGCTTCTCTTAGATGCTTCCTCCCATTCAGTCTTCATTGACTTTATTTGAACAAATCTGACTTCCCATGTTTTTTAAAGTGATGGATCAAGAAGCTAGAGAGAAAATTGTGTACAAATAAATTTGAAAAAGCAAGGATCAGATGTGAAATGCTCAACAGAGAACTCTTCTTGGCAAATAATAGCGATGTGTGTCCATTAGGTCTTCTCAGAGGCAGTCAGATCTTTGGAAGCTGGCTATATGTGCCAAATCTTGGAATTTTGGTGCCAAAGACAAAATATTAAGATAAAATATTTTGCATTCTTGTCTAAAGGACTACAGTAACTACAGGTACTGTATGTATTCACTGAAGTTTACATCTATACTTCTATGTTTTTCATCTACATTAACCTCCTTTAAAGTATGCATTAAAAAATCACCCTGAATATACACCCCCTTTCCATTTGTCAAGCTTTAATCTTCACATTCCATTTGGCTGACATATCCTACTATTGTACTGCAATATTACTCAGTCTCTTTCCTGAGTCATAACTTCCAAATTAGAGGTGGTGCTTTCTACCATCATAGAATTTGTATTGTATAAAGGTGATAAATAAAATTCAAAACTTGTTTTTTTTTAACAATTAGAATGGCTTAAATATATTCATAATACTTTCTGTTAGATGCATCAGGCTATTTGAGGGAAAAAATAAATACGACAGTTGAATGTTGAAAGTTGATTGTGAGTCCTTCATCACCCTACTGCCTTTTCAGTAATCGGAAATTTCATATTTCTGAAATACAATTTGTTTAAGATTTCTGGAAATTAAAAGGAACATTCTTACTGACACATTTGGATGTATTGTTAACATGAGGTGAAAGGTGTTTTTAAAAAACACCAGTAAAAGACGGTATGCATGTGTGTGTGTGTGTGTGTGTGTGTGTGTGTATCCTATGCTGAAGCATCTCAAAATAGTTTACAATATAAAGAATATGATGTATTTTTTCCATCACTGTTTAACTTATCCTATAAAACAAACCCACAACATTCCCTTTTTCCTTTTATGTTAGTTTGTATTTTAATATTTGTTTTTGAAATCTATTCAAGATATTTAAGTAAAAATATAAGAAGCAATACATTAAAAAGCTTAAAATATGTGGATAAGTTTGTTACCCCTGAAAGTTAATGATTGCTTAGTACTGAATGCAGTTACTCTTGTCTTTTGAATTTGAATTCTTTCTGTTTTACTCCTTTAGCTTTAAGGATTGAATGCGTACACATGGTATTCTTGTAACAGTTAAAAAATGAAATAAAATTTACACTTGTTAAGGATAGAAGTAATTGGAATGGAGTCAGAAGGAGAGAACAGTTGGAATAATACTGTCCTTGATTTCTTATGACTAGGGAGGAATCTGTGATGGAATGTAGTCTGGATTCCCAGGAGGGAGGGGGTGCATTCCAGAAGAAGAAGAAGGAATTCTGTAGGTAGTTTCATGTGACAGAAAGAGGGTGAAGATTATCCTCCCTAATAGTTCCAAGAATATGCTTCCTGTAGATAATAAGTCTGCTTTAGTTTGGCAAGATTCTATTTATAGGTGTGGAACAATAAACAAATCTCCTTGGAAGTGTTACTAGGTGTCTTTCTTGATTGTTGGAACCTGACAAGAATTTTTATCAAGATAAATTACAATGTAAGGGGAACACTAAATTTGTCATTGCTATTTTTTAAAAGAACTTAAGGATCCTTATATCAGTAAATGGTCTGCGCATTATTATAATTTATGCATACACCAAAATAGTAAAATGAATTAGATGGTCTTGTGCAGAAACTAATTATGAAGATGTTTGGCTTTCTACATTCTTGATTAGTTTAGTTTATTTGATTGTATAAATAAAAATTAAAGCAATGGGGGGGAAAAAAGGAAATATTTGGATTTTTTTTAAAAAAGCTACAGGGTCTTTTTTGTTTGTTCTGTCAGATTAAAAAATATTATGAATATTTCCTAATTTTTAAAAATACTATAAGAGGTAATTAAGATGAGAAGGAAGTTGGTCTATATTTGGAATTTTCACACTAAATCAAATTAACAAATGAAAGGTTAGAAAGGTTCTTAATATTGTATAGATATATTTTATGAAAGAAGTAGAAAATAGTAGAGTCAGAAATTAAAATTGATTATGCAGTGCTTCATGTGGTAAAATGAGTATTTTAAGCTTTGGTTTAACCCACCTCTGTCAATTAGCACTCCCTATATTTCTTAACAATATGTCTCTTTGTTTTAATGTGATGTTGTTTACTGATGTTTTTAACATTACATTTTTGTCTTGTTTGTGTTTTCCTAAAATAGGAAAAATGAAACAATATCATTTTTTAAATAAGTTGTAGTTCATTTATAACAAAAATTAAAAATACTCAAAGTAAATTCAAACAGTAGGTTTACAATTATTATCTGAGCAAAGAGTGGTTTTTTTAATGTTTAAAGTGAACATACTTTTATGAACAAACCAATGTAGTTAATAACTAAATGAAGTTACAATAATGCTGAAAACAAGTTGCATATTTTGCATTTCGTCCCACTTTTCTAGTTTTTATTCCTGGTTGTTTCACATTTATTTAAAAAAATTACATTTCTAATCATTACCATGAAAGTTAGTTTTAGACCAGGAATGGATAAATTGCCATCATATCCTGTCAGCAGTTGAGGCAATTGGCAGCATAATTTCTATGATTTTGGATAAAAACACATAAAAAAGCACTATAAGCATTAAGTAGTCCTAATATAGTTTAAAAAACAAACAAACCAAGTAGAAAAACATACAGATGTATGAGAATTGACTTTTTCCACTTGGTGCATTATCATGGGTATAGTGTCTTTTGTTTTGCCCAAAGACTGTAGATGCCACTGCTGCCTTTGACCTTTATTTACAGGGGCTACCAAGTGAGGCCTTGGAGTCAATCTTAAAAAATTTCCTTACATGAAATAGGATCATTGAAAACCAGCTGCAGAATTATGTCGCTATTTTATATTCCCAAATGCTTTTAGAGCACGAATGTCACATTTCATAATTTGTACCTGACAGTGTTTCTGAAATGTCAGGCAACTGAGATATGCTCATTTTCCGAATTAAAATTCAAGGCACTTCCCTTAATGATTTTGGAAAGTTTACGCTGACAGTATATAGAACTTCTTGTGACAGAATATAATGTGAGTTTCTGAACATCTCTCATGAATGGGAAGAGATCATAGAGCACTGACTCCAGGATTTTTTTTTTAAGAACACGTGTTTTTGCTACATCACTTTGGTTGAATGATCCATTCATTCAGAAATGCTGGGCAGTATTATTCACCCCTCCTGCTGTGAAGGAGGCAGAGTTGGAACAGCAATTCATGCTGAGGTGCTGCAAAGATTTGTGCTGTCTCACGAATTCGTATCTTGGGCTTCCATGAAGCTTTAATTTAATTTGTGTAATGTATTTTTCATGGCTCACTACTTGAGAATTTGTTCTTAATGCAATGGGTTGCTCTTATCTTGCACATTTTCAGTTAAAGAGAAAGCATTGAACATTGTGAATGTATTATCACTTAGTAATTTTCCCCTTTATTTTCTTTAAAAGATATTTGATTTAATGGATGCAAAGGCACGTGCTGACTGTATTAAGGAAATTGATCTTCTTAAGGTAATTTTTTCTTTCTTTTCTAGAATGAATATATTCTGGCATTACAATTTTGATAATAAAAGAAGCAATGAGTTATCAGATATAAGTAATTTTGTGCATGTTATTACATATGAGTAGCAAGCTATCATAGCTTAGCGCTTCCCTGAATAGTCAATAGGTCAGTTTGAATTAAAACTTTATGTCAGATTCACATTCATCTATGGAATTTGAAGCAGACTATATCTGGCTAGTGACACTATATCCTAGTGACTTTTTTCTGGGGGAAGAAGAATGAATCATGAAAAAGCACCAAAGGCCTTCCAGCTACTTAAAACTGTGACTGAACAAACACGCCTTGCTTACTGATCTAACTGTACACCAGATATACTTGATGAAGTGAGCCATAGTTTAAAGACTTTATCCAATAATAAATTGATCCAACCTTTAATCCAAAGATGCTATATGAATTTTTATGATTTTTCTCTATAGACTAATTTGGCTCTCCATCTAGAAATTAATTTAAACATACACATTTTATAAATTAAGGGGATCTCAACTCCACATGGGATAGATTATATGCTATATTTTAAGTTAAAATATAACTTAAATTTTATTTTAAGTTACCTATAATTTTAAATAGGATCAGTTGTTCACCCATGGGTTATAGAGTTCTTATTTTTTTTAACATACTATCTTTCTCTACCTCCTTCCCTTACTTTGAAATGTATTTGTTATATGGGTGGTGATAAAGGGATAAAGTCTTTGGCCAAGGAACATAAACATATTCACAAAAAGGAAAATGCATAGCAGAGAATATTTATATATATTATATTCCACTTGAACCAATTACTGTATTTTTTGTTGTCAAACCTTGTAAAGTAATAGATTTCCATTTTGCTTTATTTTTAAAATGTTTCTAAAATCTGCCTAATAGTAGATAGTGTTTGCCAAAGGGAAATATCTGTTGCTTGTTTTAAAAATGTTTATTATAACATATGATTTTAAAAATTAGGTATGTAACCTATGTTTTAGTTATTATATTTACAATTTTTATTCATACAGATAGCCCTTAACTTATGTCTGGTCATTTAGCGACCATGCAAGTTGCGGCACACTTCCCCTGGGCTACTCATGGCTCATTGAAATTTTGGTGGCTAGGTCACTTCCCCATGGTCACAAGATCGCATTTTGGATGCTCAGCAATTGACCACATTTATGACTATTTGCAGTGTTCCATGGTCATGTGACCATAATTCACAATCCTTTTTTTGCCAAAACCTGGCATTTACTTCAGTTTTCAGCAAAAAATACCAATTTTCAGACAATGGATGTGTTTAATGACAATGGTCTTTGCTTTATGCCACATCTGTATAACAACCCAGCCCAAAAAAGGTCGTAAATTTATGAATAGTCCTGTGGTAACTCACTTAACAACATGACTTATGTCCATAATTCTGGGATCAATTACAGTCATAAGTCAAAGACTACCTGTACAAGTGTACGTTAACCTATTCATAATTTTATCTTTTCAAAAGTTTCTTCTGTGGCGTGCTTGAAATGATACATCAAACACTTAGCACTGGAAAAGCTAACGTCTTTAGGTTTCAAATTATTTTATGTATTGTTTTACATATGATGCCACCATTGAAAACAACAGCATTTGCTAGAGTTCATATTGGAATTGGCCACTATCAGGGGGAAAAAAAGTGGATTTTTTTTTTTTAAATGCCATCATTTGGCATTGGCAAGGGTAGATCCTTGCACAGAGTAGGTTTCAGCACAGAGAAAACCTATTTCCTAATTGTCACTAAGCAGTTATTTGTATTCTATTGTATAGGCAAATCTTGAATCCTAGTGACAACTTCAACAAGTTCCTTGCGGGTTTCTTAAAGGCTTTCAAAAGTGCTTTGGCATTGCCTTCTTCCTAGGTCTGAGAGAAAATGACTGGCCCAAACTCATGAAGTGGCTTTGTGCCTAAAGCAAGACTAAAACTCACTCTCTTGGTTTCTAGCCCAGTACCCTTAACCATTATGCTAAACTAGCTCTATAAATAAAACATAATATTTAATTTTATTATAATTGTATTATATTTTTAAAACAAAATGCATTTTATATATTATAATGAATATTATAAATATAATTAAAATTTGAAAAGAAAATATATTTAATTTTATAATAAACGAGGAGAAGATCCTGAAAACTTGAGTTTGGTTTACTTTGGTTCCCTTAACAAGGATTGCACTGACTTGTAAGTTGGGGTTCTTTAAGTGTTTTCTTCTTTTTAAACCTGGCGAGTATGGAAAGAATGAATATGAAAATAATGTTTTAATTATAAAATAGGAAAAGTTCTTTTCCCACTTTGGGAGATTTAAATGGCAGAGCATATATGTTATATTTTTTACTACTGGCTTATTGTATTTGTGAATAATAGTCTGTTGACTGAAATATATTTGTTTTCTTAGCAACTGAACCACCCCAATGTAATCAAATATTACGCATCATTTATTGAAGACAATGAACTAAACATTGTGCTGGAATTAGCAGATGCTGGAGACCTTTCTAGGATGATCAAGGTATGAGTTTTTCTTGTTAGGAGGAGTTACAGATAATGATAAGGAGTAAATTTCATTCAATCTAAAAAATAAAAATAATAGCTAATGTTGTATTCCCTATAATAGACTTTTAGAATATAACCAGCCGCCAAACATTATATCTTATTGTCAAATAAATTATAAATTTATAAATAGATTATATAAGAAAATATAGATCAAAGAAAAACGTAAATTTTCTCCCAAATTTGACACAGGAGCCATAATAGTATAATTAGATTCCTGTTCTCTTCACGTTTTACCCAGTATCAATTATAAAATCTAATTAGAACTTGAACATATGATAAATAAGAATGGGTCCACCAGACATATTTATATTTGGGAACAGTTGTGTCTGCATGTTGCCTCCAAAAGACATGTAGATACTTTCTCCAGGTTATCATTTGGAAGCAGTTGCTCACACAAATTCTATAACAGTGATGGTGAACCTATGGCACGCGTGCCCGAAGTGGCACGCAGAGCCATGTCGCCTGGCACGCGCGGCCTCACCTGTTGCTCTTCTGGGTTTCTGGCGCACATATGTGTGTGACGATCAGCTGGTCTTCGCATGCATGGCAGTACCGGAAACTGGAAGAGCTGGTCTTCCGGTTTCCGTGTGCGCATGTGCACCAGCCACTTGATCGTCGCCAGCGCATGCGCACCAGAAACCAGAAGAGGAGCAGAAACTGGTTCGCCATCACTGTTCTATAAGATACTCTTTCTATTGTTTGGAAGTGGGGAAAAGATGAATTAGGAATCAGTATGGCAATTGATAGAGGTTTTAAAGCTTTTTTGGATTCTCTAAAGCAGAACTGGAATCAATACTTAGGCAAGCAGCCCATCATGATTTCTTCTTTCTTCACCTATATTAATCTACTTTCTAATCCCCTCAATGTCTATGGAGATTTTTAGTCATCCAGGCCATGGTTGTCCCAAAGAGGCAACCGGACTTTCTGGTTTTTCTTTGAAGACTTTTCACTTCTCATCCAAGAAGCTTCTTGGATCAGAAGCAAAATGTCTTCAAAGAAAAACTAGAAAGTTCAGTTGCCTCTTGCTTTTTAAAAAATTAAGCCCAAAAGTCAAATATTCATTTTTCCGATTTGTATATTTAAGTAAATAACTATAAAATGAGTGTATGTAATATGTATTTCATGGCTATAAAATTTCTTCATTTCATTTTATTCTAATTCTTCTTCTGCCACAATAACATTGTTCTTCAGAGTACATTAGTTAACAATTAAATACATATTTGTTGAAGTACAATTTTATTTCGCTACTATACTTTGAAAATAGAAATTTATTTTGTATGTTCCTGGAAGAGAATACAATAAATTTATTTATTTTTACTTTGAATAATGTTTCTTACCAAAATGATAGTTTTAAGTTAAGCTAATTAATAGGATACATAGATGGATAATGTTTTGGTAAATTAACCAAACTGAATGTATTTGCTTAAGTTATACTGTGTGTTTTTCTCTTTTAAATATATAATACATATTAATATAATCTATCTACCTGTTTTTAATTTTGGCCTTGGCAGAAACAAGGTATTAAATAGTTGCCTTGCTTTTAATATAGATTCTTTTATTTGGATTCCAGTGATATGGTTAGCAGTTTCTTTTGTAAAATTATAAACTAAAAATAATTTTAAATAGTTTTCTAGATTTACAGAATTACATATTGCAGGAATTTTCCATAATATTCCACAATAGAGATGTTGGACTTCCATTCCAAGTTTTGGAGAGTATCAGAATGGGAATGCTGATTTACTTTTAGTACAGTTACCTCTTAGGTAGTTCTTCAGTGAAGACAGTTCTGAATCAGTGGTGGGTTTCAAATTTTTTTCTACCGGTTCCGTGGGTGTGGCTTGGTGGGCGTGGCATGGTGGGCGTGGCAGGGGAAGGATACTGTAAAATCTCCATTCCCACCCCACTGCAGGGGAAGGATACTGTAAAATCTTCATTGTCACCCCACTGCAGGGGAAGGTTACTGCAAAATCTCCATTTCCTCCCGATCAGCTGGGACTTGGGAGGCAGAGAATAGATGAGAGCAGGGCCAGTCAGAATTTTTACTACCAGTTCTCCGAACTACTCAATATTTCCGCTACCGGTTCTCCAGAACTGGTCAGAACCTGCTGAAATCCACCTCTGTTCTGAATGTAATCATGTCCTTGTGTAAATCACAGTTTGAATCTATGGTTAGTAAATTTACCAGTTAATGTTACTGTACTCAACTCTATTAATTTTTACCTCTGCTGTTGTAATCCAGGTTTTGTTCATGGTCAGATTTGATTCCATTTCCCCCCCTCATTCTTGTTCCATGGTATTTTCAGTTGCTTCTTAACATACACATCATGTTTTATGTAGTGAATTCAGATTACCATTTTAAGTTAATGACAGCTTATCTGGCTATGTTTAAATATGCATAAGGTGTCATGGTATAGTAACATTTTCCTAGTTCTTGTACTTTGAATTTATGTTAGAAATATAGGAGGGAGGGAAATGCAGTAAATGCATTTCCAGCTACCTTTTAGGTGACAATTTGACGAGAAAGGATATATAACACAATAGAAAAACAATAAGGCCTCTAAATGCATGTTGCTTATTATGTGAATAGAGAGAATCAATAATTAACCTCAAGAAGCAGTAATTAAACTCAAGGTATTAATAGGCTTCTGTCCCTACTTTCATTAGATTCTTTTGGTGTATATTTAGCATGGAATTGTTGCTATCTAGTAGCACTGTGCATTCTTTGAAAACAGTTGGAAGCTCTGCTGACTGCAGGCATCACACCTCTTGGCTATTCATTAAAGAGTCCAATCTCTGTTAGGCTGCTGGGCAGGCCTGGAAAAAAAAAGGTACTGTTTTAAGACTTGCCTGAACTGTAATGAGTGGATTTCTTAAATTAGTGGCATCTTTTTTTCAGGCTTTCATAGAAGTCTGGAAAAGATCAGAATTTTTTTTTTTAATGATCAGCCGGAAAGTCCTACTCTTCCTTAAGATCAGAAAGTTCCTTTAAAAATAGACATAGGAACAAAGTGCTTTAAAACATTGTAATAAATATTTATTATGTAATGCATACATCTATTTTACTAACTCTATTAACATAAATAAGTTTATATACTTTGCACTATATTTACAAGATAATCTTCTAATTTATAACTGTATGGCTTTAAAAAAAAAAGAAACTTTGCACTTGGCTACGTAAGGGAGAATAAGCAAACAAAATATTTGGGGTAGGGGTGGGGGAATCCATTAAGCAAACAAAACTAAGAAACATATATGGCTTAGGACCTGGTTTACTTACGGGACCGCCTACTCCCACCGACCAGTACGCTCCCACAGAGAGGGGCTCCTCCAGGTGCCGTCGGCCAAACAATGTTGGCTGTCGGCCCCTAGGGGGAGAGCCTTCTCTGTGGGGGCACCGACGATCTGGAACGAGCTCCCCCCAGAGATACGGAGGATTCCAGATCTGCGCACCTTCCGCCGTGAGCTGAAGACTTTTATTTCATCAAGCTGGCCTCGCCTAAATCTTCTCCCTTTTAAGTGCAAATTTTAAATTTTAATGTGTTTTAAAATATGGGTATTTTAAATCATGGGTATTAATTCAGCTAAATTAATTTATTTTATTCGATTTTAAATTTTTATATGTATGTGTTTTATTTCGTGGCTGTTCACCGCCCTGAGTCCTTCGGGAGTAGGGAGGTATAGAAATTCAAATAAATAAATAAATAAATAAATAAATAAATAAACAAACAAATAAATAAATAAATAAATAAATAAATAAATAAATAAATAATAAATAAATAAATAAATAAATAAATAAATAAATAAATAAATAAATAAATAAATGAAAAGGGGGAAAAGTGTAGAAATCAGGCTATTCAGGTATGCTTTCCTATTGATTTTTAAATATTCACAGCCCTCATATACCAAACATTTTACCTTAATGTGCAAAACAGAATATGCTTGTGATTGTATGCTATTATTATACTATTGAATAGGGCCATGAAAAATGTACAAAAAAGATGTCTTGCAAGGTGCATTATATGAATGAAACATTTCTCTCTGAAGTATTAAAACAAAGCATATGGCTGCTTTGAATGTTGCACCTTGGTTTTCTTTGTCACTTAATTAACCAGTACAATATATACAGTACAATATAGTAACATAGGACGTCAATGGTGCAAAGGATTTTGTATCCAGTCTCATGTTCTAGTTATAAAATATTAATGGCAGTGCTCCTTCTTAAGTGCATAATGGCCTAAAAAGATGGATCCCTTATGGATCCTGGGTATGAGAACACTTTGAAAATTCCCTGTCCACATATTTGACTCTTCCAAAAGAGTGCTGATTTTATTATGGAATTCAGAAATAACTCAGAGTAATATATGTGATCAGTTTGATGCAATTATTGTTACTAAATAGAATTTATTTGGCTTTTCTATATAGCAAGAGGTTGGGCTGTATGGTGATGTAATATAAGGTACTCCTCAAAGTACTACCATTTGTTCAGCAACATTTGCATTTACAATGGCACTGAAAAAAAGTGACTTATGACCAGTCCTTGCCTTACGACCATTGCAACATTCCTCCCAGTCACATGATCAAAATATGGGTGCTCGGCAACTGCCATGTATTTACAACTGTTGCAGTATCCTGGGGTCATGTGATCACGATTTGCGGCCTTCCATCTGGTTTTTGATAAGTAAAGTTAGTGGGGGAAACTGAATTCGCTTAATGGCCACATGTTTTACTTAACAATTATAGTGATTTGCTTAATCACCATGGCAAAAAGGTAATAACAGCAGGCTTGACCTACTGAATAACAGAAATTCTGTCCCCAGTTGTGGTCATAAGTCAAGGAATACCTTTAGTAAGATAATACTCAGAATGCAGATGGGGGAAAACTCCAGCCAAGTGTGGCTCCACTGTCAAACTAAAACCAGTTTCCTTCCCTTCCTCTTCTAATATATATTCCTCTTT